TGTGTGTGTGTGTGTGTGTGTGTGTGTGTGTGTGTGTGTGTGTGTGTGTGTGTGTGTGTGTGTGTGTGTAAGTTCTAAGTTCTAGAATATGCTACCTAGTAAGGCACATTTTTCAAAAAATAAACTACCTTGTGAGGCTGTATATTTTTTGTCCTTTTCCAGTTTTTGCAGGTTGTCTGTGACCTTTTTGGAGGTGCTGGTCAGGTCCTTCTTTATGGTCTTGTATGCAGTGCTGTTGTTCAGTAATGCGGTTATTTTGTCCTGGTAATCCAGAGTGTTGAGGACCACTGTGCCTCTGTTGATGTCCTGGATCAGCGATGTTGTAGCTTTTCTTTCCTGTGATGAAAGATCAGAAGGAGATGGTTTTGTATGGAAGCCCATTTCCGCCACCCTGATAAAAAAAATTAATAAAACTTGCATCTCATAATCATGACTTAACTATCTCATAATCATGACTTAGCTATCTCATAATTATGACTTAGATATTTCATAATTATGAGATAGCTAAGTCATAATTATGAGATACAAGCTTTATTTTTTTTATCAGGGTGGCGGAAATGGGCTTTCATAGTTTGGTACTGAATATGGTTGCTGTTTTCATTCTAAGTTGTTCTTCTGTTTTAGTCTGTTTGTTGCTCCTAATAGTTAACAAAGTGACAGTGATTAGTTCCAAAACAGGTATTTCATGTAGGGAAATGGATAAATATGGTCCTTTCACCAGAACATCCCCTGGCTGTGTCAGTCTCTTACTGTTTCAGAGACTGCAAACATCTTCCTTTACAAAACAGAATTCCAGTAGCACTGTTTTTATTTCTAACTTTTTTAAATTTTCCATATCAACAGTTAATAAAAAAAACTTAATATCATACTTTTTTCCCATTTTTGTGACAGAAACAGCGCCCCCTGCAGTCATGTGTGATGATGAGGAGAGCACCGCTCTGGTCTGTGACAACGGATCTGGTCTCTGCAAGGCCGGGTTCGCTGGAGACGACGCCCCCAGAGCCGTCTTCCCGTCTATCGTTGGCCGACCCAGGCACCAGGTGACCGCCAATTGATCCACACACACAGAGAGCAGTTAGAGGTGACAGAAACAGGTGTGAGCTGACAGGTGTGTGTGTGTGTGTACGTGTCAGGGAGTGATGGTGGGCATGGGGCAGAAGGACAGCTACGTGGGAGACGAGGCTCAAAGTAAGAGAGGAATCCTCACCTTGAAGTACCCCATCGAACACGGCATCATCACCAACTGGGATGACATGGAGAAGGTTTGAGACACACACACAAACACACAGACACACAACAGCCCTGAGTCCTGATCTGTATGTGCTCTTTGATTGGTCAGATTTGGCATCACTCGTTCTATAACGAATTGAGAGTGGCTCCAGAAGAACATCCCACACTGCTGACGGAGGCACCGCTAAACCCTAAAGCTAACAGGGAGAAGATGACCCAGGTACACACACCACACAATGGCATGTACCAGACAGGTACACACATGGTACACCTACTATACAATGACATGTATCAGACCTACAACATTGTTTCTGATATTATCTATCCCATTCATTATGTAACACATGTGCTTCTGTGCTAAGATCATGTTCGAGACCTTCAATGTTCCCGCCATGTATGTGGCCATCCAGGCTGTCCTGTCTCTTTATGCCTCCGGACGCACTACAGGTCAGATCACAACAAACCATCTGCACTGTAATAGAGTTTATTTTAAAATTACCAAACAAACTTTAGTTTTATTTATCGCTTCTAGCTCCTCTAACGCTAATCTGCTAAACAGATAAAAAAAACTAGTGGAAGCTAATGCTAACCGCTAAGTGTTCCAGTTAAACACTGGTGTTACAGACGCAAACTTGTTAATTTTCTATTGGTTTATTTTGAAAGTGTATGAGATCATTGGTGGCAACCAAAGTTATAGTGTTGTCTCATTTGTGATACTTCCTGTTTACCCCTTTCAGAATAAAAGCATTTCTTTGATTGAATTAGTACTTTTATAAAAGCCTTTTAAAGTTAGTCAAACAACAAATAGCAAATACTTTCTTTACCATACTTTATATGTAGTCAGTTTTTGTTTTCATTATTTAAATGTTATTTTATTTCATTCTGATGCTCTTAGTTTGAAGTTTACCTGCTAAAGATGCTACATTCTACACACATGGTGCATAGTGGGTCCAGCACTGCTAGTAAGAGGGGTTCGTTTTTATTTAATTTTGGATAAAAGGCATAAAAATAAAAGTTTTACACTTAGCAGAAGCTAATAGGTCCTCTAATGGTTTCCAAAGTTAGCAAAATATCTAATCTGTTAAATGAGAAGCTAGTTCTGCTGTTAGTGGATTAGCGGAACTGTGCCCACCACTGCTAAAACTAAACATCAGAACTGAAGGTTTAATTACGTTTAATTTCCAACGATTTTATCACCCCCTAAACAGGAAATAGTTACCAAATATGGTTGGTATTTTTGGACAGATTTAATCATGCAGAGGTTATTTGAACCCTCCTGTCCATCCTCAGGTATCGTCCTGGACTCAGGTGATGGTGTCACTCACAATGTTCCAATCTACGAGGGTTACGCTCTGCCGCACGCCATCATGAGGTTGGACCTGGCAGGCCGTGACCTCACAGACTACCTCATGAAGATCTTGACCGAGCGTGGATACAGCTTTGTCACCACAGGTAGATTGGTGGCAAACCTGGACGTGTCCCCCAACACATCGAGAGATGCTGGTTCTGACCTGTCTGTCTCTGTCTGCAGCGGAGAGAGAGATTGTTCGCGACATCAAGGAGAAGCTATGCTACGTGGCTCTGGACTTCGAGAACGAGATGGCGACGGCAGCCACCTCGTCATCTCTGGAGAAGAGCTACGAGCTTCCTGATGGTCAGGTGATCACCATCGGCAATGAGAGGTTTCGCTGCCCAGAGACGCTCTTCCAACCATCTTTCATCGGTCAGACATCTGTCCACCAGTGTGTCATATACCTGTCTGTCCACCTGTAGTTCTGCTGTAGATGTTCACAATAATGTTAATCTCCAAGACTAGTAGCACAAGATAATGTTGATGAAGAACTCCAGACAGTTATAGAGCCATTAGTTCCAGATAATGACAGTAATGTTAATCAGCAGAGTCCAGTAGTTACAGACGTTGACATAAACCACCTTGTCTACCAGGTATGGAGTCAGCGGGAATCCACGAGACAACCTACAACAGCATCATGAAGTGTGACATTGACATCCGTAAAGACCTGTATGCCAACAACGTTCTGTCAGGAGGAACCACCATGTACCCTGGAATCGCAGACCGCATGCAGAAAGAAATCACTGCGCTGGCTCCCAGCACCATGAAGATCAAGGTATGACCTCTGACCTCTACTTCTTACAGCTCCATACCTGTATTTAAACTGGTATAACCGAATTACTTATAATGACTCGCATGACTTGGGCTGGACTTGCATGACTCGGACTGGACTCACATGATTTAATCGGGGTCAAATGACTTGGATTGGATTTTTTTAATGATTTTAGACATGTCTTGATGGAACCACAAAGACTTAGAACTTGACTCAAACCTTTAATACCTACGACTTGTGACTTAAATACTTGATATTTTGCTAGAAGTATATTTAAAACAAAATATGTTAGAAAGAGTTGGTCAGAATTCAGGTTTAGGCCACAAAATTACAGGTTTAGAACTCGAGACTCGACTCAAGACTTGTCATTGGACTGAACACCTAGGACAGAAACCTGTCTCTGTAATTTATTTAAAGAAAAAACTTCAAAGAAAAAAATAAAAGGAAAAGTAAAAAACTTAATGTATGATTTTACTTTAAAATGTGATGATTTTACAGTGAATCAATGTTTTCAGTGATTGTTCTAACTCTGCCCTTCAGATCATCGCTCCCCCAGAGAGGAAGTACTCGGTGTGGATCGGGGGCTCCATCTTGGCCTCGCTTTCCACCTTCCAGCAGATGTGGATCAGTAAGCAGGAGTACGACGAAGCTGGACCCTCTATTGTCCACCGCAAATGTTTCTAAAGGACCTGCCTGGGTCTCTGTGCTCTGCAACACACCCACCCACACCCAAACACTTTACAACACAATCTGTGCCTTCATTTCCCTCTCGCAACACGCCACTACAATTCCACAAAGTTAATATGAATAAATACTTCTGTAGAGTCTAATCAGTGGTTTAGATCAAACACACATCGATAGACCCCAGGCCGACTAACAAACCCCAGGTCATCTAACAAACCCCAGATCAGGTAATAGACCACAGGTCGGCTAACCTACCCCAGGTCGACTAACAGACCCCATGTCGGCTAACAGATCTCAGGTCAGCTGACCTACCCCAGGTTGACTAACAGACCCCATGTCGGCTAACAGATCTCAGGTCAGCTGACCTACCCCAGGTTGGCTAACAGACCCCAGGTCGGCTAACAGATATCAGGTCAGCTAACCTACCCCAAGTTGACTAACAGACCCAAGGTTAACTAAAAGACTCCAGGTCAGCTACTAGACCCCATGTCAGCTAACAGACCACAGGTCAGCTAATGGACCGTATACTCCAGAAAGGGAAATGTCATAACAAACAGGTATATGTTCAGAACACTCCCACCCCCCTCCCCCATCTTTTGCTCACCTGAAGACTGTGAATGTGCTGCATGTCGTCCTCTTTGTCCTCTACATTGGTTCTGTTTGTCAAAAACTTTTTACTTTTTTGATGAATAAAGTCTAAACGGTGCTCACTCACACTGCATTACAATCATATCACAGCCTGCATGAAGGGTAAACTTTGGGCAGGTGAACAAGAGGCGTGGCCTCAGAGATGGTAACAGGTGATGTAAACTACAGGAATGTGTCAAATGGCCCAGAAATATAATAAAGAGCTCTGATTCAACTCTACTGGTTGATTTTTTTCCTGACATATTCATTTTTGTTGTCATATAATAATCTGTTAGTAGAATATTTGATCAACATTTATGTTTTAAAAACTTATTAGATTCAGTTCACGCTGTTTTCATGTTGACAGCAAATCCTTGTTTCTTATTAATGTCCTCCTCCTTGTAGGCCCAGAAAGAATCTTGTTACATTTTGCTAATATTTAAATGTTATGTCTAAATTTTAAACTCTAAATATAAATGTGTGAATCTAAAAAATTAAATCTTATGTTGTGGCTAAATGTTCAAATTTCCATTTAAGTATTTCAGAATGGAACGCAGTCTTTGCCACTGGTGTTTGTTTCTTGTTATGACATCATCATACTGAGACAAATGGAACCGCTAATACCGCTAACTCCACTAATGCTTCCCCACAAAACATCAAACTTGCAGTGTCTGCGTTGCACTTCAAACTGCTGGACCACAGGTACCATCCATGTTGTTTTCAATGAACTAATTTTAAAATTAAATTTTCCATTGTTGGCAGTGTTAGCGGCGTTGGCAGTGTTAGCACCGTTAGCGGTTGTTTTTGTTGCAGGATGATGAGACCACAGCAAAAGCCACACACCGTTTAATTTTTACATTTAGATTTAGGATTTAATATTTAAATTTGTTAAAATTAGCAAAATGTTTGAACAGTGAGCTAAATTACGGTAAAATGTTTAAAATAATTTTTACAAGGGGTAATAATGAAAAGGTGTTAGTGACATTTCTTAACATTTTATTTTACACTTTGCACCCCGTAATGATCCGCACAACAGCATGCTAACATGCTAACTGGCCTTCTTCACCAGATAATCTGTTTAAATCTTTGACTTTAGAGAAAAACTATCACAAAAACAATACCACCTGGTCTTGGTTTTGAGATGTTTTTATTAGTGATCCATGTTTTTGATCTGTGTTCGGGACCTGAAACAACCGCAGGCTTTAATTGGGACAGAATTTATCTTTAAAAAAAGTAAATATGTTGACACTGTAAAGGGTTCAGTTTAAGTTTTGAACAATGAGCTTATGTCATTCAGAAAATAAAACACTGTTTGGTATCAAAGTTTCTGTTTAAATCAGCAAAACGTTTTCTGTAAAAATTTATTTGTCAAACATTCATGTTTTCGTCAGAAGGCACGCGGTCACTTCAACGTCTGACTCTTCTTCATGTCCTGGAAACAAAACTCTGAGTTTAAATATCCCAGAAAAATAAAGTTCCTTGTGTCTGTGTGCAGCCGGCAGCTCAACCCATACACACACACACACAAATAAACACACACACAGCAGGTTCACAGTTTCCTCTTCAGAATAAAAGCCCGGCAGTAAACAGGCAAACAGCGGCCCCCGTCTGTCACCTGAGGTCCAGCAGGTTGAGCTTCACGGCTCTTAACACCACATGTTTGCACACCTGGGAGGAGGAGGGAAGAGGCGGGGTTACACAAACATACAGGTGAGTCTAACAACATGGATCTGTTCATTACAAAACACAAAGAAATAAAGCTAAAAAAGATGGATAATTAACAGAAACTTATTTAGATTTTTTCTTCTCAAATTAAAAATTGTTAGCATATCTTAGCATAAAGACTGAATAAAATATCAGTAACGAGTAAAAAGTTGAGAACTTTAAATTTAAAGTCAAACTTTTAAAAACAATGTTTGCACAAAGCTAAGAAGTGAGTAGACATGAATTTAAAAGTAAAAACAGAGGAGCTAAAAAGCTGCAGGTAAATAAGTTAACTTCTTTAATCAAGAGTTATGGTTAAACATTTATTTCAATCTACATTCAAAACATAAGAGCAGTATATAAAAACAAACGATAAATAAACAACAAATGTACTGGTTAGCTCGTTGGTTCAGACGATTTTCTGTTGCAACATCACTTCCTGCCAAGTGAAGAAGGCAGAAAACAAAGAGAAGAGCACTCACGGTGAAGAGAGGTGGCTCCTTGGAGTGAGGATGGAAACCTTTAAGTCTGCAGGCTGAAACCTCCGACATCCCAGGACCGGTCAGCCTGAACACACCCGTACTACAACACAGAGGGACGGAGCCGTCAGGAAAGAGCCCAGGCTGCAAAGCCTGTGTGTGTGTGTGTGTGTGTGTGTGTGTGTGTGTGTGTGTCGTGTGTGTGCGCACGTGACATACTCATTGTGTTTAGGAGCACAGACGATGGCGATGGCCTCCGGGAGCATCAGCTGATACGAACAGTGAGTGTGAAGGTCCACACTGGATAGGAAAGCTGTCTGTGTGGGATGGGTCTGAAAACACACAGAGTTCAGAGGTCACAATACAACACCTCACAGGTCAAAGGTCACAATACAACACCTCACAGGTCAAAGGTCACAATACAACACCTCATAGGTCAAAGGTCACAATACAACACCTCACAGGTCAGAGGTCACAATACAACACCTCACAGGTCAGAGGTCACAATACAACACCTCACAGGTCAGAGGTCACAATACAACAAACAGACGAAATGAAACAATCAGTTCTCTGCTGTGTTTAGTTTTTTTCTTTTACTGACACAGACCCAACCATTCCTTAAACTGAACTGGACCAAACTGTCCGTTGAACTGGACCACACTGTCCCTTGAACTGGACCAAACTGTCCCCTGAACTGGACCACAATGTCCCTTAAACTGGACCACAATGTCCCTTAAACTGGACCAAACTGTCCCCTGAACTGGACCACACTGTCCCTTGAAATGGACCAAACTGTCCCCTAAACTGGACCAAACTGTCCCCTAAACTGGACCAAACTGTCCCCTAAACTGGACCAAACTGTCCCTTGAACTGGACCAAACTGTCCCCTGAACTGGACCAAACTGTCCCCTGAACTGGACCAAACTGTCTCTTGAACTGGACCAAACTGTCTCTTGAACTGGACCAAACTGTCCCTTGAACTGGACCAAACTGTCCCTTGAACTGGACCAAACTGTCCCT